TTTTAGCCTACACTGGTAAGCATGAGCAGTGGTGTGGACATGATGACCTCCCGTGAGACGCCCATTCTGCTACATCTTGGATGGTCGAACTATTTCCCGACAACAGCCTGTGGATTTCATTTTTTAATTTTTTTATTTATTTATGTTTTATGTAACTGCCATGCTCCTTTTCAGTGTTTCAAAACACTCTGCTTGTCCATGTGCTCGCTTGGCTGGCCCATTTCGGCGGGAAGCGTCCAGCTGCTTCCGTTGCGGCCCCCCTGATGATTGTGTAACGCCGCTCCACGTTACCTTCGAGTGTAAACAGAAAGAGCTCTGGCCAATCATTGGTCGGAGTCTGGCCTCCACCTTCAAAGTTTATTGGCTTTCCTCGAAGGCCTTACTGCTTTCAAGTGGTAGATGGCATCCTCTCGTAAAAGCCTCAGTTTTTACCAGCACACATGGCTGGGTTAAAACCCATACTCCTGACTGAAAACAGATATTTATGTACACTGTATTAAACAGACGTGTACCCCTTTATTTTCCCCAGTGTCCCACATTAAAAACGAGGCCTTTTCTGTTTTAGCTCAGTTAGGATTATTAGTGTTACTCCTTTTTGATGAACACCAAAATAATAGGAGATATGGTGTTATTTCTTCCTTTAAATGTACATATACAGAGATATGCCTTTAATCAAATATATTTAGAGTATAAACACTATGGGATTGACAGTCAGTTAAATTTCCTGGGGGGACAAAAAATGTATATAATATAATTGAAAAGTTTGAAAATATTGCCCAGTTTTAATTTTTTTTTTACAACTAAAGGAAGAAGAAGGGTGCTTGTAAAATCAGGAACACCCAAAAATTACGTGGAAAAACTGAATCCAGGAAATCAAAGTTTGTGCACAATTGGGTCTTCCAAATGGACAGCGACTGTCGGCATACTCCCAAATTAGCGACAACAAATTAATACATTGGACTGACCATCACAAAGACCTGACCTCAAAAAAACGAGAAAAAAAAACTTGTGGGCCGAACTGAAGAGGCGTGTCTGACTGGTTGTATCAGAAGAAATGGGCCAGATTTACAGCAAACTGTTGTAAGAAGATGGTGGAAAGAGACCTAATGAAATTTAGAGAGTTGGTATGTAAACTTATGAATTTGAATTTGAATTTAAATTTAGAATTTCTCCTTCTCGTGATTCTGAGGAATAATTATGGTAATCCTACATGACGTAGCACAGGAAAGGTTTAGCCTGGTTTAATACTGGCAACAATATTAAATCTGCATCTTTGTATGCACTGTGTAAATATCTGGCTTAGACCGTTTATAATGCATCTATTTAAGACACAAACCTTCTTATGAACTTTGTCAGGGCAGTAAAAGTGGAAAACAATTAAGGCTCGTCAAGCTGGAGTAGAGAGTAAATCTCCTTGAGACAACCCGCCGAGGTTTTAGCTTGAGTTATCCAGTTGACTGCCTTCACCTCCTCCAAACATGTCGCAACATGTGTGGATACGTGTGTATGCAGGCATGCGGTCAGCAGTTCTACGTTACTGATTAGAGGTGCAGAACAGGTGCAGGATTATTGCCAACAATCGCTGAGCCCTCGTAAGAAAACTTAGTTGAGTTTTCATGAATTTATCTTTATTCAGGAATGTGTCATTGTTGTAAGGGAACTTTTAGAAATAGTAGCATAAAGGAGAATGTTACACGTTTATGTAGCTCGTGTCCCTGATACTGAACCGCCAGAGTGAGTCCTGACTGTGGCCCAAGCAGTTCTTGTTGAAAGTATCATAGTGACAACAGATATAAGAAACGCCTGACGCTAAAGCTACTACTGTCACACTTGTTTATCCTTAGACATGTATGTTGGCTTATCTAAAATTGCTTCTACATGTGGGTTCAATGTCAAAAAATTAAGTCAATTTGTGAAATATCCTCGCACAGATATGGTCGATGTGCATTATTTAATGTTTGCCACCATCCCATACATCACCTGAGTAAATTTACAATATGCTACAGTGTATGCATAGGGTTAGGGCTAAGCTGCGTTCAGCCTTAATGTTTTTCTTTTTCTAGCAATGTTCACACCATAAAAGTTTGATGCTTTATAAAATGTCCATCTGTGCTTCCAAATGGTCACATAATTACTAGCTAAATTACTCCGGAAATAATTGGCACTCCAAGCGTTAGGAAGCTGAGGTGAGTGACTCTTCATCAGTGCAGAGAGAGAGTTTGCATAGCATAGCATGAGATCAAGGAGAGAAATGCTAGACTGTTGCTACAAAATTTGAGAATATAAGTACTTTCTTTTGGCAGAGGAAATGGTGAAATGGCATCTTTGACTTCTGATTCTCATTCCACTGAATTGTTTTAGCATAAAAACAAACTCCGGTATCCTATTTTAGCTGGAAACCAAGTAATGTGTGCTACAGTATAAAGTTCTGTATAGAGAAAGCTAGTACTGGACTGTTCCTTATTTGAAGTCACTTGTCTGTATATGACAGATACTGAACGGAATATGATTCACAATAATAAATCTTTTCAATATACTTTCATCACAGACCCAAAAGTAAATTTAATGTAATACGTTTTCTGTAATATCACGCTCTTAATCTGCATGTCGACCCCTAACTACATGTGCTTAAATGTGCAGCCTCTAATCACCTGTGAGCTCATTTTCTTTACCATATAGACCTTCTTATCTTAAACTCTTTCAGCGTAAACTCTGGATTGGGTTGAGTTTGCTGATTGCACTGCCAAACACTACCTTCTGTGAGGGAAGATACTCTCCACAGAGCTAAAGCGAGTCCAATTGAACCTAAAAAAAAAAAGAAAAAAAAAGACCACAACACTTGACTTGAAAGGCTCAGTCAGATAAGGAATTGCAATCTTTACTTCAATGCCTAAAACTGTGAAGGAATCGCTACAGATGTCAGAGATATTCTGCCAAGTCGTGTAGGTCCATATGTTGGTTTTGTAAACAAAGGCCCACATGGAGGCCTGATTCCGTATTAAAACAGCCTGTGACTTTGACCTATTTACAGAGTGTCTTTGGGTTATATGCATGTCTGAGTTTTGGCAAGCTTCCTTTCCTTGCAGAAGTGTATTGTCTGCTTTGGTGGAAGACGAAACTACTTTGTTGCTGTCACTCTGTTGGCCGTGTGCTGAGAGAGGTGTCATTACATGTCCATAAACGTCTAGAGATGAGAAATAATTATGGGTTTAGCTAATATGTAAGTTGATAAATCCAGTGTTTTTAGATAGCTGCTAGACCATGAACCAGCAGCTTACTGATCCTCCCTTTAGAAAAAGGGGACCAGTAAAAAGCAAATTATCAAGTTTTTTTTTATTTGTAAAAGGCTTCTTCAGGAGGTTAATTGAATGCCACCATCTGTAACATCGGTTACAAGTGGCGATGCACTGAGTCAGTTGTTTAGTCTTCTTAATGGGGAAAACCCAAAGGAAACTGAAATGATACAAACATTTTCATATAATACTAATGGTGGAGAAATAACTTAGCGTTTATCCACCATCATCTGTGGCTTTGCTAATTGACTTGAGCATTCATGGGAAGGGTAGAAAAGAAAATAGATGAGGCTGCGAGCAGCCCATACATGAGCAGGATTTTTAAATGAATGTAAACCAAACAGAAAATAAGCACAATCCCTTTACTTGGTTATTAATATTTATTTTTTTCCTAGCATCCAGGTTAACCATCGACAATGGTTCATCAAAAAAGTGACACAGCACTGGTGAAAGTCATTAATGATTCTCTCATTATGGCTTTAGATGATTGACTGACTTGTGTTTGGATTTTAGTTGTTAGTTGTCAGTCTTGCATGTAATACAGTCAATCACAGTATTCTGTAACAAAAGCAGGATTAAGACAGAACAGTATTTACTAAAGAAAACTGGATGCTGAAATTGAATGTGGCGCTCCAATAAGGTACTTAGTTTATACACATTATACACCAGATAATTTCAGCTTTCTATTTTTCATTTCTCCTCTAACAGATTTAGTTTTTTTTTCATTAAATTGTGCAAGATAAAAATATTTAAAATATAAAAATGTTTGATTTACAATGGACTCATTTTTGGGGTACAAAAAAAGTGCAGAAACTCTTAACAATGTCAGCTGTATGTGGATCTGAATGGCTTAGCCAAAAACTGAAACTAGCAAATCTTAGCTAATGTGAACTGAACTCACAGCTAGTTCTGGTCAATGGTGGACTGTAACGTAACGGCTTGTTCATGGTGCAACATGATGATGTGGGGTAAATACGTGCTCCCACAAAACAGGAGGTGGAGGGTGGAGAAAGAGCAGAACACTGGGAGGGAATAGCGTGGCGGTCCAGAGTTTTATTCAACCTTCATTCAACAGAACAGAGCCAGCCTCAGGCCCTCATAAAGAAAAACACAGAAGAAGGAAACAGCTCAACTTTAGAAAATAACTGATCTGGTATGTAACCACATTAATTGAAATGCAAAAATAAATCATCTTACATACTTCTTTAAATGAAATGTTCTCATTTCAAAATGAAGTCATTATAAAAAAATAAATAAAAAATAAAAATCACAATAGTTATACTCTCAGTACCAATACCTACTATTACCATGGGGTAGCCATGTTGAATGTTTTGCCACTCAGAGGGGGTGTGTCAAAAGCGGCGCTACGTAGACGAGTGACGTCGGAACATAACCCACTGACCAGCAGCGTGTGAGATAAGTTAGATTTTGCAGTGCAGTAAAGGAGGCGGAGCTGAGAGAGAGAGAGAGAGAGAGAGAGAGAGAGAGAGAGAGAGAGAGGTTTCACCCCGACGTGCACGTGCGCGTGCGTGGTAGGGGCGAGACCATGGAGAGTCAGCTGGTCGAAGCTCTGGGAGGGAGCGTGGAGTGGGCTGGACGTGTGTATGTTGGCGTGCGCGTGCGCGTGTGTGAGCAAGAGAAAGCGTGAGCGTGTGTATGTGCGGTTTGTACGTGCGCAAGGACAGCGCTTCGGCGGACAAGGTGAACACGGCGGCGGACAGAGGTTTTTTTTGGGGTGGGGGTGGGGGGTCGGAAACAGTTTGTGCCGAGATTCAGACGAGGAAAGTTGAAGCGTTTCACCGGTCGCTGATACGTCGTGCGTCCTGGACACGAGCTTGTACTGTGTGCTGTCCTTTCATAACCGTAAGCACTTTGTGTATTTGTTTAGGAACTAATTTAGGAGCGCATATGCTTAAAGCCAGAGGCAACCATTCTTCTCGGTCATGTAGGAACGTGCAGTGGAGCTATAGACGAGCTTACTGACGGCTTGTAGTGTCAACAATTACTTTATAGATAGTTTTTGTCATGCTAAAAAACACAAACTCTTCTGGGGTGTCCTTTAAGTCCGATATTTGCTTTGTTAATTTAGTATTTTTGAATGATAAAAACCATGAGACGTCCTACAGGTTACCTGTGTGAGCACAAACTTTTGGTATTATTGGAAGGAGTTTGCTCTCTTTAAATCTCTCTCAATGTTGTCAGTGTCAGTAAGTGGTGCAATGATTATTTCGTTCATAAGGGTGCTTCCCAAACTAATGCAAGGCATTTACCTAAAGCAGCAGCAGCAGCATGTTTAGAAGCTACTCCCATGCAGGACTAGCTAACTGTGTCATTTCTCTTAGCACCTAGTAAAAATATTTTTGTATGCTGCTGGTGCATAAAGAACACCACATGTAGGGACCATCATTCTTGGTGTGATTTTTGGCAAAGATACACCCCAGTCTGAGTGTGGATAAACACTCCAGCAAGTGTGGCATTATTAAGTTGCTTCATAGTCCATTAAATCTCTAGGTGTACCTGTATTGCTAGTAAAGCTGAATTATTCCCTTTCTCTGCAGGAGGAGCCACAAATGTCACTAAATGTCAAGCACTTGCAGCTTTGGCTTAGCTTTCAGGCTTATTAGGCTTGCACATACAATCAGCAGGGCTTGCCCTTTTGGCCAGAAGTTTGATTGGTGTGAGCAGCCTGATCCTGTAGAGGAAGAACCTATGAGACTCAAAACTGGACATAAGTAAAAAAAGAAGGATGGGGTGGAGGGGGTGCACAGAATTATCAGGAGTAGAGAGAGTGTCTTTTTCGAAGTGTGTCCAACTGTGCACACACATTTGGACACGCATTCTCAGTCAGCGAGAGCGACCTAAAGATAGCCGAGCCCCTGTGGAAACAGTAATTAGTGGGGTGAAAGGAGAAGGCGGAGGCGGAGTTGCTGGTGGAAGACTTATTGTTTGAATCATCTGATATGTGTTGTATAATGACCTGACATGTACAACAGAGGAGCACAGAGAGGGAAATCAGCCAGAGAGTTGGCTGGAGAGATGCAAAGTTTAGCATGCATGTGTAGATTATGTTTGCTGAACTTTGTTGAAGTATGCATGTGATTCTGGTTTCAGTAACAAAAACAACAACAACAAGAGCTCCTAAATGTGATCACAGCTTCTTGTGACCAGGTGGATTGTGAGGTTCTCTGCAGGTAGTTGAGTGGATTTTCATGGTGATTAGGGCTTTCTAGCAGGGATTCTGAAACTAATAAGTGGGCATTAGGCCGGAATGAGATTCCCAGGTTGTGATAATCCTGATTGTTATATTTAATCAAAAATGCTTAGGTAAAAATGTATGCCATAATTAAATTACTTTTATTTAAAAGAGAAACACAAAAAATACTCGTAGATCTACGCAAAACCACAAAATATACACCAGCTAAATTTAGAAACAGTTTTTACAAGCTGGATAAGTTTCTAATGTTTGGGTTTTGCAGGTTGACATGGGTAAAACAACCATATTATGGGCTCAACACATGGGGGGCGACGAAAGGCAAACGTTTTTCGCCACTTGGGATGAACCCAACTGACAGGATGTGTTGGCAACGGTGACAAAAGTTGAACATATTTCAACTTTCTTGGAACTGGAGCTCAAAATTCCACATGCCTGTCGCTTGGCTAGAGGAGGGCAAACTGTGGTCGCTTCATCATGCAGGTTTCACAGGAAATGAGGGACGGCACTTCCTGTGTTTCAATCCTGCTAGCTGGTGAAGCAGGCCTTCAGTCGGTAGTCGTAGCTTTAAAATGGTGTTACCTCAGAAAAACGTTTTTGCAAGCAGTTTGTACTTATAAGCATAGAAAAAACAAAGAAGTATCCTTTCAGCTAGCTGACCTGTAGTCCGCTAATAAAGGCCTGGGAAGAGCATCTCTGTGGTACTTGGAGCTATAAATCCTACAACAAACTCCAGACCCATTCTAGGACTTTCTCTTGAATCTCATTATCAACTTTAAAACAACTTGACGGAAAATGTTTGTGGCTTTGAAAGTGAAGCATTTTAAGCTATGACAGCGGTTAAACAAACATTTAATGCTGACCATGCGAGAGTCCACTTAAACACACACCAGTTCACGTCTTGTAGTGGCTAACTCCCTTCCAAGAATATAAGAAACTAACTGACTGCTTTTCCAAGTGGCTTCTTAAAAACTCCTCCCTCTACAGGGTGCAGGTGGTGAGTGGTCATGAGTTGCTAACTTGGAGAAGATTTCTTATTTAGTCATAATCCCCTGGGCTTTGTTTGAGGACTGACTGGTGTGTATGTGTGTGTGTGTGTGTTGAACACAATGGTTGTGTTTACACAGGAATCACTGTGTATATGCATGTTGACGCATTCACAAGCCGTGCGCAAATGCAGGCTTTTCTTCTTTTTCCTTTAGGTTAAAGATGAGTGTTGGGTTTTAGAAACTGGGTACCAGTTTTACAAAGTTGTTATCACAACACCCGCATGGGCAGCAGTTTTAGAAAGGCCTTTGACATCTGTCTTTCTGGAGTTTTTTTTTTTTTCCCCTTTTCCCTCTAATCATTATCCTGTCAGTTTAGGCTCGGTTCGTCTCATTTATTCGCTGTGCTCCTCCTCCATGTGCAGGGTGCTTGCTGAGACCAGAGGGTTCCCTGCGAGAGGGAGCACAAGGCAAACATCATGGCTTTAGCAGGATGCCCTGACTACTTTTTACGTCACTCAAACTACCAGGTAAATATTTTCTGAGCTTTCTGCTTGTTTGCATGTCAGTGGTACAGAGTGTGAATGAATGTTTTGAAGTAGTGTGGCTCTAAAATTCAGGTTCCTTCAAATAGCACTGTGAGCGCCAACCTGGATTGATTGAGAACTATCTGATTAAAGCTCTATGACGTGGCTACAGCGTCATTTATATAAACTTATTCAAATTACTTGTGGTGCTCTGATTTTCCTGATGTTTTGTGGGTAATCATGCATTAATGCTCAAGGTCTTAGATCTTCTTGTTTCTTTGTCGAGTGCTTTTTTTTTCTATTTTTTTTTGCTGTCGAAGATGGCTAACTATAAGTTAAATGTACTAGTTACAAGAGTAACTTTCAGAAAACCAAGATGCACCAATTATCAGAATTGTCCAACTTTTGTCATGAACCAATTGATGATCTCCAGTGCCACTTTTCTTATTAATTATAGTTATCAGACCTAGAAACTTTATGGTCTCTAAATGAACTACCCTACTGCAAACTCAATTTTTTACTTAAGTACAATAAAAATCTAAATAAGCGTATGTGCCATAAGAATAGAGAAGAGAGAGAAAGATGAAGAGGACAAAAGAAAACACCCTAGAAGTCCGCTTCTACACCTGCAGAAAGAGGGAAAAAACAGAACCGAGAAACAACATATGGATGTAAAACAACAATGAATGTCCTTTAACCGATTAGCATCTGAAATAATGACCTGTTGGGATTAACCCCCCCGCCCCCCCCATTTTTATATTTTAGGAAGCTATAAAAGTATCTTCACAACAATGTTCAAAGAATCACCTTTGCAAAGGCTGCCAATAAGCCCCGAAGTTATTTGTGGTGGCACAATAATTCTGGTAAAAACATCGTAAAGACTGACACTTTGATATTTGAGAACAATCTAAAAAGTCAGCAAAGCTCCTGCGTTTGCACGAGCGAAAGAGTAAACATGGCAGACAGAACAAGCTAACATTGCAGGGGCTCCAACTTACTACAATTACGATAGACAGTCCAGCAGATGGATAGTCCAGTACAATATAGTGGATGCAGACTTAAGCTTGGAGCAGAATCGGTACCAACTTGCGCTACTAACTGTAGATGATCACCAAAGATGACAAAATTACTAGAAACAGAAATTCAACTGAGGTTTGCATCAACCAGATACTTGATTACAATGTAGACAAAAAAAATCAATTTCCAATTAATTGTACAAGTTAATCCAGGGTGATATTATTAGTCTGCAAATTGGCTAGCATGTGGAATATTTTTATTTAAAGAAAACAGCTGTTTATTTCTTTGTGTCTTGGAGAAACTTGTTTTCAGGCTGAAGAGTTTTAAGGTGTGGGTGTGCAGCACTAATTTTCACTTCAAAGTTTATTTTTTTGAGCTTAGTTAGCCTTCAACAGCCCTTGAAGCAGAATTTAAAAAAAAAGAACAAACAAAACATAGGAATGTAGTCTGATCTTCTAATCTGGATATGAAACATTTGTCAAAGTTGATCTAGAATTACTAACTTGTTCTAACATTAATTAATGAGCGGTCTGTTGGATAAAGCCTTTTTAGAAGTGAGTTGAATAAAAATAAATAAATTAGAGTCTTAAGGCAGACTTAGATTTATCTCCCTATAAAATGGGCCTTAAATTTCAGAGCTACAGTTTCCCCAATTATTTAATAGCACAGCTTTAAATCCTGAGAAATTGTTCAACAATTGCAGACAAGGCTCAACCTGCACACCCATAAAAGGTTTTTGGGACCAATATCAGACACTAAATGGGCTGATGTCTTTTGAAGTAATAGGTTTTTTATTTCTTGAAAATACAAAGACTCTCTGTAGCAGACTCTGTAATATAAAATACTAGTTTATTCTTTAATAACGTTTCCATAACAAATTAAAAGAACAATGTTGGGCATAATTCAGAACAGATAAGAAACATGTATTTCTACTGCTGTTTAAGCAATGTAGCATTTCTTATTACAGTAGTAGGGATGTTTAAGTGCATGTTGTGTAGAATACAGTACCTTTTTGTTGTTCTGCTCTTTACTGTGTACCAGTACCCCCAGCTGTTTGTGAGAGTTGGGCTCTCTGCTCAAGTAGAGTCAGTAATCAGCTGTTCCAACAGAAATGTTCTGTGGTTCCCACATCATGACTGTGTACAGTTTTCACAACCTGAAATATTTTCCAAGCTATTGACTATGACTCTTTTGTAAGCAATGGTGTAAGCTCAGTTTTAGCCAGCTGAACAGCAGTGTGCAGAGGGGCAACTCTTACTTTACACTTCACACGACCAGATAAAGCTCTGATCACTGACACTTTCTCTGACATATCCTTAAACGGCCAGTAAGCCACAGGAACTTTTTAAAACCTTAATTTACCTTGACACCAGTGACCAGCTGAGTTTATCACATCTCTGCCATTGAGTTTTGCTCATGTTAGATGCTGCTGGAATAGGTTTAAAGGCCCCAGCATTCAAACTTCAGAAATAGACCCTTATTGAGATAGACGAATGAAGAAAATTGTGTCTTTTTGTTCGCAGAGATATCCGCCTGCGAACTTGACACTAGACCCAGGTCGAACTGTTCAACGGAGCTGAGTGATTGGTCAGGAGTTTGACCAATCACATCAATGTTGATATCTACCTTCAACTAGTCTGCTTGAAAATTTAGTCCACTATCTGGTTTTTGTGTCTGCAGGAGACACGAATACTTTGTGTCTCCTGCAGACCTGACACAGTGAGGAATTACGTACATTTGTATGATTCTTCACTAAGTAGCTACTGTTATATTATGATTGGCAAATGGTTAATAACTCCTGGATGGAAATTGCAATGTCTAGACTGTGATTTTCCTGATGTAAGCGGGAGCGGTGTGTCTTAGGTGGTCTGTGCCATTGTAGGAAAGGTGTGCGCAAAATCCCGCGACTACCATCGTCTGTTTGGATACGGATAAAGTATGTGGGAGCCGTAACAGTTAAGTTATGGATTGCATAAAAGGACAGCCTCTTGATTAGAGTTCTGCCAACCTCTCTTAGGGTCTCCATGTGTGCAGTAGCAAGGCCTCTTGCCTCAAGGTTGGGGTCTCTCAGTCTGGTTCGGTGAAATATGGCGTCTCTGCCACACAACAGACCCACTTCCAGTGTCCAACTCCTTGCAGAATGAGCCCTTTGTTTCTCCGCTTGGGGTTTCTCCTCTCCAACTCTCCAGTAACCTAAGGAATTTGGTTGAACGGCATTGTGTGCTCTATAAATAGAACTGCTAAACAAACACCATTAACAAGGTGCGGACTTTGTTTTGTGACAGGCTTTTGGGATTGACGTTGTGACGTCTCGCTGCGACTCAGAGGGGGATGAAGGAGGTGACGTAACGTCAGCCGCCTTGTTCCTCCGGGTGGAGGTACAAACGTGGAGCCTCCCGCTAGCCCAAACCGTGGGACTGCAGAGCTCCTGTTGAGCTGACATTAAGTTGGATTGGTTCTCTTTAGCTTCCAGGAAGGAGTCTTTGCTCCAGTAAGACCGCAGTGAATAGTGAATTGAGTCTCCACAGAAAACATTCCTCCATCCTACATCTAGTGCAGGGAAAAAAAGCAGATTTAAGTTGTTAAACAGCAAGAAGCTGGCTATAACATTACTGTGTGTTCTTGTGTGAAGTTTGCCAATTGAGATGAGACTGCATGTTCTCCCTCCAGCCCCACCGTGGAGTTTTTCTCTGGGTGTAGTTTGTATAGATAAGGAGCAAATGAGCCGTTCCTGTGTGAACTTACATAATGCTATACATAACGCCGGGGATGTTTGGGAATCTGGGCACTGCTCCACTCCCGTCTCCTGTGTGTGTGCGCACGTGCGCGCGTGTGTGTGTGTGCGCGCGTGTGTGTGTGTGTGTGTCAGTGAGAGCTTTGGAGCAGTGCCAGAGATGTATCAGATTGAGTCGGCTGTAAATCTTTCTTTCTTTTCTCTCTCTCTCTTTGCAAATTCATCTTTTTGTGGGTAAGTTTACATTTGGAAATATGTATTTGTTCACGTTACAAAACACCAAAACATTTTGACTCGCAGCTTCTTTGAGTCGTGGCTTTAGTTGTTCAGGAAAGAAAGAGGAAAGGCTGAGCAATTTAACATTAATTTCAGTATTTTCAAAGTATGAACAATGTTTCTATTTTCAGACTTTATTCCTTATCCCATCTGTTTAAATGTTGTATTCTTATGTATTTTTCTACTTTCCACTCTTCCCTTATCTTCTTTTTTTCTGATTTCTGTCTTTTTTCCGTGTACAGTCTTTACTTGTGTCTGTGTTCAATGTGTCTACCCTCATTTTCTTGCTTTGTTTCTTACCACTACTCAATTTTGGGGGTAATTTTCTAATTAACACTCTTCTTGTGGAGACTGATATAAATTTTTTAACATTCTTAAAGGAACACAAGCCTAACTTGTTATTAGCGGGTGAGTTGGTTGAGCAGCATGCTCGACCAACTCGAGCATGCTGCTCAGTTGGTCACTTATCAGACATGCCACTTGTGGCGCGTGGCTTTTTGATTTACACAGCTGGAAACATTTCCAAACATCCAAGTGTGTAGTTTTTGTAGGGGAAAAAAGTTTAGAAGCTCTCATTAGTTATGCACCATGGATGAAATTTTGTCGATCCAAAATAGTAATGACTTCTTAAACACAAGTACTAAAGACTACTTTTACTATCAGCTTTGCTGGTCATGTTCAATGTTTCCCAGTAGAAATATACTGATTGGTAATGACTGCAAATGGACCCTGTGTGTTGCAATAAACCCTATCAAAAAAACAAGTTTCATTTTACAGTGATCCCTCGTTTTACGTGGGGGTTGCATTCTGAAAATAACGCGCGATAAGTGAAATCCGCGAAGTAGCTACCTTTATTTTTTTACAACTATTACAGAGCATAATTAAATACTCTACATTGAAACCAAAGAACAAAACCTGTTTTCAGGTCAGTGGATGTGCGTGTGCATCAATCACGGCATTAATGTGATCCGGAGTCATGTCATTAAAGCGTCTCCTCCAAGCTGCCCCACAAGATTCACAGCTGTATCCACGGCAGAGCCTCCGGCCACAGTTTTTTTTCAGCAGGCATTCAAAGTTTCAGTTTCCATCTCCTGAATGGCCAATGTATATTACGTATATTTTAGCCAATCAGGACGCAGAACACAATGCACTGTGAAAAAAATCTGCAAAAAAAAAATCCGCGAAGCAGCGAAAGGTGAACGGCGTTATAGCGAGGGATCACTGTATATTAAATTTAATTTTAAAATACTTTAGAAATCCCAAAGGGAAATTCAATGTTGATCAAATTACAACATTGAGGCTTCTCCATGATGTTCATCATTTCTCTAATTCTGCAGTTTGATCACTACGATGAGTGTGGTTGTAGTAAAAAAAAAAAAAATGTATATATATAAAGTAAATGAACTTAAAAAGAACATAAACACTCTTATTAAAAGATAATTTTGTAATTGTCAGGTACTGCTGATTATGTATCTGGACATAAAACCACTTCAGTGCTGTTTCATTGGGTCCTTAAAGCTGCAGCGTCAGTCAGAATGCATCAGAGTTCATTGTGAAGGTTTATGGGAAATGCGGCCATTATAATTGACTCTTACAGCAAGAGCGCTTCGAGTTAAGGGGTCTTTTTAGCGGCAGTTAACAGTGCTGCTACTGATGACTCCTACTGGACCCAGAATGCTGTTCTTCCTCAAACCCCACGCAGTCCACACAGTCACTGCCTTGTGCCCTGGAGGAGGCAGGCTGGTGCAGGACTGGGCAGTACTATCAAGATATACCTGTAGAGGTATGTTTTTATTTTTTTTAAATAAACAATTTCATATTTTGTGATAATTTCTAAAGATACTGTTATACGTTTAAAGTATAAATTGTGCACATTTGCTTGCTGCAGCTGGTTTTCAGTGGGAGTTCAGAGGAGGTGCTGTACCTCAGCCCTAGCTAAAGTCCGCAGTCAGACCACAGGCCCAGCAGCCAAGCTGTCTTCCTTGGAAAGCTTTTGGCTGCTGCTTCTCAGAGCTATAAATCTAGCTTCTGGCATTTATGGATGTTTTCGAAGCACAGAGGGGAGATGCGAGCCGGTGTGTGTATGTGTGTGCACGCACAACAGGACTCCTGGCCACGAGCAGTTCCTGGAAGCAACGCTTCCGCGTTCTTCCTTTTCCTGGAAAAGGGAAGATTTTCAAATTTGGCTTTTGGGCCTTTGTTTCTCTCCGACAGCTTTCTCGCCTCAAGGCTGTTTCGGATTAGCCAGTGTGCTAAGGAACGTGACGTTGTGTCCCCAGATGTGTGACAGTGCTCTGGATGTTCTGTTTGTTTTTGTCTTATGTTGATGAAACCTGAACTCTGCAGGATGTGCTTCATGTTTGTATTGGACAGAGGTGGCAGTGACAGCTAGAGGTCAGCAGGGTCATGGGGTTAGCATGAACATATGGCTTGACGTTACTGGAGAGCAGAGCCCCTCAACCATTTGAACTCGTGGTATTTCATCCTTCAGGAAAACCTCCTGCATCCTAAGGGTGTGGTTTGACTATGTTCACTTTTAAATTAAAGATTTACATTTTCTTTTGGGCAGGAAAGGATGGAGCGCACCTCCTCCCACCGGCCTGAGGAGCTGATCGTTTCCGGCTTTCAGCGCACAGCCAGTCAAGCTTCGCCACATCACCATGGTAACGCCTCTCCCTCCTCCACATCTGTTTCTGTAGCACCCCATTTATCATTTTTTGACATTTGATGTGAAAACTGATTGAAACACAACTAATTGGGCGTAATGTACTGATTTGGTTCAATATGCTTACGAATGTAGGACACACTTAGATCCAGTGTTGTGCTAATTCACAAGAGCTAGTTCAACGTTCAGATAACACAGATTTCTAATTCACATCTTCCAAATTTCAAGTTTAAAAATGAGTAAATTTACATTAATTTATTTATTTCCCTGTACAAGAAAATCGATTCCACTAACCTAAATTTTGACAAATGACTTTATCTCTTAATTAGCTTAGTCAGGCATCACCGGACAGCTTTTATAATCATAATTTTAAAAAGTTATTCTGGCAAAGTTGAGCTCCAGACTGCTCTAAGTTACAACACACACTTGAAAAATGTACAGATTATAGAACATTTAAGTAAGTAACACAAAAACAGATCCGAGTCCAATCATCAGTCAAAAAGGTTGCATTCATGTTTCACTGCTGAGAATGTTTAATATTTGCTTATATTTAGTAAATGAGATGATTTGTTTTAAATGTAGCTGACTTAGGAGCTGATTTCATGCATCAAGAGGAGAATATTTAAGAAAGTTACTTCTGTCACTTTCAAAGCACAACGAGGTTTATGCCCCTTTTCATGCACAATGGTCACAAAGTCAACAAACCCAGCATTAGGTTGGCACTACACAAACATGCAACAGTGTGACCACATGGTGCTTACATAGCAGACAAATCAGTTTTTTGCTTACTTTGAAATGAAATGCATACATTTTTCCTTGTGTAAGAGAGCTGGTGTTTGCCCTGACCTCCTCTGTTCACTCGCAGAGCTCATATTGTTGGATGTTGTTGCTTTGAGCTGCACTCAGTTGTTCCTCAAGTTTAATTAAAGGGCTTATTGAAGCTCATCATTCTCTGAAAGCCTTACTTTCTGATAAACCTGCCCATTTTAGTGCTATTTTTGCACAACATGGATTACCAGTTCAGTAATAAACACTTAAATCTAACTAGATTGGGTAGAGTACTGTACAGTTACATATAAAGTATGCCAACAGGCAGATTTACTAGGAAAAGTTATGTTCCAGCTTTTGTGGTCACGATACAAAACAAATGGTTCTAATTTTCCACATATGTGTTTAGTGTGAGGTAAGTGTACTGCATTGATAAGGGATGGAAAAGATCCTCATATTAAAATTTCTGTTGTGGAAACTATTTCTCCAATGGTTTAGCATTCTGAAACTAATTTAAAACCGAAGAGAGGCTGACTCACTCACACAGATGCAGATGCACAAAGGCAACCCAATAAATAGTTGCTGTTTTGCAGAAAACATGATTATAAATCTTTGTTTTAGTATTATTATTTTTTATTGAGCCATGCAGTAAAGAAGTTTGAAAGGCAAAATATTCCTCTGTCACGTTGCTCCATTATCCTACAGCTTTTGTTCTGCCCATTTTTCACACATCATCTCCTCTTTTGATTGCTGTCTTCATGGAAGTGAACAGATGATGGCCTACTTAACGCTCACTGACTTCCTAGAAGTCCCTCACTCTAATTGCCCAACTTTTACACCATCTAGGAAACTGTCTCCCTTCATCAGTTCATGCTCTGCTCACCATATGGAGACGTTGTTTACACCCCTTTCTTTCACAGCGCCTCCCCGTATACACACAATCTCATCGTAAATAATAATTATGAGGAATTGTGATAATGCAAACTACATAAATCAGTCTAATAAAATTAAGTCATGGCAATGCAGGTATAGGCTTGTTTGGCAGGGAAGAGGATTAAGGAAGGTAAAGCAGATCCTTACTCCAACAGGCAGACACATGAGATGATTCATATTTATTTAGCTCCTTGCTTGTTCAAGAAAACTTAAATATTGTGAAAAAATGAAGCACATCAGAGCATTAAATTGCTAATCTTAATGCTTAAATATCTGCAATATGATTTTTATTCTTTGAGGCAGCAATATTTTAATCTTTGATCTTTTTATATCTTGCACTTGAGGTAAAATTATGTCTTTTTAATCCCAGTAAGTTACAGCTGATAGTGTTTGTTCTTGTTTTAGGTTTACAGTATAGAGCACCCATCAGACTTCCTTGGACAATTTCCTGTCTCTGTTTTTTGTAAAACTCTGATCTGCTATTATAGGTTTTCGTCACTTTTAATTAAAATTACATGAAGTATAAAACATTTTTGGGCTTTTCTACCTCGAGAGGTTGTTTAATATTCACACAGTACTGGAATCAGGTTACTGGATTTGAGGCAGCAGTCCATGTAAAACGGGGTTTAGTGAATTTACAAGTGCAATACAAAAGGGACTTGACGTTTCAAACTTAAACGACCCTGACCCTATCTCAGATCAAACGGAGCTACATTACTGTTGTGTATTTGACTTCTCTTATGCCCTGAAGTCAATTTTCTCCTTCACCAGTTCGATAAAACATGCCAAAGATGGCTGGGAGTTGAGCAGGGACTGGAGAGCTCAGTTGAAATCAAACTCCCATAGTGCCAGGTAACGCTTTCGCACATAAACATGTTTATGAATTAAACACTTTTAGTGCTACTCTTCATGCAGTGTTAAATATGTCTCTGGAAAACATATATTTCTTCAAATATAGTCTGTGTGTGTGCATAAAGGGTTATCAGTATCAAACTAAAAAAGTTAAGGAACAGAGAGATCAGAAAAATCTCGCATTGCTGGTACCTATGAGAATTAGAGTAACTTCATAAATTGATCAAGTGTTACTTATTATTATTTATGTACATCTTCCTGTTCAAACCCTGATTTATCCACTCTAAAAGCATGTGTACAACTACGTATCTATAAGGTTTAAAACCTGTATAAAATAGAATAAAATAAAGATGATATCTCTATTTGGACAATAAAACCCTCTGTTTTCTATTTAAAATGCTGTATCTCGTGGACTTCAACACTGCACAGCAGCCATGAATGATTGAAAACAAGTGGAAGTCTCCTCAATAAAGTTTTGCACATCACAGAACGGGCTTGAGTGAAAAGGCTCGAGTCAAAGTCACTCGGATAAAGTTACGTTTTGGCCTTGCACAACTCAGACACTTTACATCAGCCTCACTAATGGATTGGTTTATATTTAGATCGACTCAGGTTGCGTGCCCTTCATTTATGATAGCCCCATCTGTCTTCCTGATAACCTGACAACATGCTTTTTGGCAGCGAAGCCAAAATGCACCACCTGCAACACAATAGATAAGTTAAGTATTTTAAGTAAGCAAAGACAAATAAATAAGATTTACGCAAATTCTAACTACTATCCTTATGTTTCGTAATGAAAACACTCCAGCTTTTCTTGCTGCCCTCTAGACGGTGGTTGGGGATCAATAATTGCTGGGTTTTGTGGGTTTGGGTTAGTGTATTTTGAGATCCTAGAGGAATGGACCATCCACTTTTGCATGGCATGTTTTGTTGTCAGATGCTAACCAGACAGCTGCAGCAAGTCCTTCACATTCCAGGTCAAAGTAAATGGACAAGAAGAAGAAGGCATTTTCTTTCTATATGTCCTCTGGGCTCCCTGTGCAAAGCCAACAGTGGAGTTGGCCAAGCCAGCCGCAGGAGGAGGGAGAGGAATGCCAATGAAACCATCATTATCCTCCTAAAGCTGCACAAGACTGCTTTTTTTTTTATTTAAGACTCTGGTAGGCTAAATGATAAAGGGCCGTTGCAAAAGTGAAAAGACAGATTAAAACCCTTGAAACCTGGAAGCGTGTGCGTGGTGTGGGATCTCCATATTAGCGGACATAAAATATTGATTTAAGGGTTTGTTCCCATGTTTTGCCAAGACGCAGATGAATTACACTTTTAAAACATGCCCACGGAAATCTCAGCTCGCCAGCAGCAGCTGCTTATTTTTCAATTAAGTCCAGCAAAAGCGATCCTGGACAGGAGCGAACGCTTGCTGCTGCAAAAAGGCCCCGGTTGATAAAAATCTTCCAGTATTTTCCATGGACTAAAATTACCCTAATCGTGGCTCATTGCTGCAGGTTGATAGCAAAGACAGGCGTTTACAATCCAGATGTTTTTCCTCTGCAGCTGACTTGAATGTTTTTATTCTTGGAACTTACTCCATAATATTGAATCCATCGAATATGTTGGTGCCAATTAAAGTTTTTGATGGATGGACTTGTGCTCAGCTGAATATTCATCCCATTAGTGGCTACAAAGGACTCACTGTTGAGTTCTTTGATCTTGACTTATGCTGTCTCCCTGCACTATAAAAGCATGTCAGTGTGGATAGCTAGCCAAAGATCTTAAAAATCCCTTTATTTATATCCTGTCACACTTTTATGCATCTGTCTCGTGTTTCATTGATGTACAAAAGTATCATTCAAGGATTCCCGTTCATGCCAATGCCCCACTGGTACTCGCATCAGTGACCCAATAATAATGTTAATTTCATTCATGGTATGCCATGCAGACATTTTGTCTACACCAGAGAAGATTCACTGAACCCAACATGCTAAATGCTTGGAATGACTGTAAAAGATAATATGGGGAAATTTTAAGACACATTCAAACTGTATATTTTATAATCCTCAACTTGATTCACATCCATTATTCAAAACAGTAAACATTGTAGACAATAACTTTATATATTTAGTCCCACTTGATTGACACAATGCACTTTATTTCTTCATGTTCAGAAATGGTAAATTGAAGATAAAAAAGCCACCAACCAAATTTCTCACTACATCTGTGGCATTTAAACTGTGTTTTATGCTGCATTTCAGTCAGAGCCAGGAGTTGCATCACATTCAAGTTGAGCACACTTTAGTTGCAAGTTGGGAAATATTGGTATTTGGTATTTGATTTGGTGCTGCATCTTATTTGTACAGAACAAGCAGCTAGCAGTACATTTTACCCATTTAATTTGATTGTAAACAAAAGGAACTTATGCATAGGTAAATATTTCATAGCTCTATGTTTGAAGCATATTTAAAAATTGATTAAAGTACCAATAAATACTTGGTTTTGGTAACTTTCACTACTGTTTGTATGCATGGCAACCATGTTGATCTTTTTAAAAACCCCGAGCTGATTGGCCAACTCCAAATTTCCCAGTCAGAATTCCAACTTCAAAAGACGTTTTTATTGTTTTCTCACTGGGAATTGGAAACCCAAACAGAGAAACCACAGTTGGCTGCCCTGACATATGTGACATCATAAGAAACCATGTGATGGCGGCTTTACGTCATTGGTGCTGTAGATTTATTTAACGCAACACTTGCTTTCCCAGAGCCATGCTTACTTTTGGGACTAGGAAGATTTGCGTTTTGATTTCAAACTTTTGATTAAACAGGATAACTTTTTGTAATCATTACATAACTTCTGATTATAAAAAGCAATAAAATGGCAACAGTTGATGTGTAAAAATCGATCTAATTAAAATCAAATGGTAAAGCTTGAGTGAGCTTTACATAAGAAGCACGTTGGTTGTTTTCTGCTCTCCGGTTTTAGCCCCCCTTATCCTCTGGCCCCTCACACACCCATCTCCTGTCCCACTCATGAACCTGAACATCACTTGACCCTGTGTCCCAGACTGTGCTTTTTGTGTGTGCTGGACTGTCAGGCCATGCCTCTTTGTGATCCAAACATGAGCGACGACTCCTGTTTTTTTTGGAACAGCAGATTCCCTTCTGCTCTTTGTGTTCGCCATGTGTCTAAAGCACAGCACAGTGTTTTCTTTAAAAAAAAAAAAAAAAAACTTGTATAATCCAAAGCACGTGTTGGTGTGCGCTGCACATTGCACGTGGTGTCCCATCCTTGTTCTGAAGTGTGCATGTGTGTGTGGTGTTTTGCTGCTCTGCTTCGTCCTGACCATTTAAGCCACCGTGTGCAATGAGCGGACTAGTTAACGCTCCCAGAGCTCAGTAATTTCTTCCTCCAGGAATGTTTGGAATCCTCCGAGCGGTGTTGGGGTGGGACTCACTTAGGACTGAAGGGCTTTAGACGCATACATATACACAAACACATGCAGAAACACTCTGAGGGGGCAGTTAAGACTTTTAAAGAGGGTTTAATGTGAAGTTTTTTCTTTTCAATGAGGGGAACTGTTTTCTATCCTGCTTTTACACTTTTTCTTTCTCTAAACCTTCCTTTAAATCTTAGAGAAATCTCTTGACATGAGGAATTCACTGATTGTTTTAGAGTAGCTGATAATCTGCACGTTGCTCAACTCTGAGGTTCATTGACACTTGGCCTCTCAAATCCCTGGAGGACTTTAGCTAATTAAAAATGGTTCAGTGATGATCCTTCACATTTCATACCGCCTTGGTTTGCACTGTGGCTTCTGGTTGGAACCACCACAGTTTGTTAGATATATCAGTCTTTTTAAATGTTAGACTTTATACAGATGAAATGAACTCGACAAACCTTTTAGGTAATCCAGGTAGATGAAAAATCCAACTTTGGATGTTTTTACACCTGAGACTTGGTTCACTTGGAGACCAAAATTGCAACATTTGTTACATCAGCAGCTGGTGTGGTTCGCACCGCGTCACATGATCAAAACCCTTTGAAAAACCTGTTCATCTCCTCGCTTGTGGCGGCGCTGCAATAAGAACCACAAAAGGAGACGACACAAAAACCTCAGACGAAAACACACAGCACTACAAAAATGCACTTTTAAAAAAAGGTGGAAGAAGAAGATGTAATGCTAGACAACACAATGTTAGATAACCTACATTTCTACTACATGAACCAGAAAGTTCATTTAGTAAACATAGCAAAAACCATGGCTGGGGTGTATTATTTTTGGATCGTTTATGGGTATTATTGGCCACCATAAGTTGAGCTGACCAGTGATTATAAAATGGTCATCGCTCTGGGTAACAAGGCGCTACATTGCAGTTTCATACTAGCTGAAGTGCACTTCTGCCTTTTCCCTTGGAAAAACTTTTGCTTGTGATAAAAACATGGGGTGATTTTTGTTACAACATATCTTTAGGTAAGGAACCTTTTTGGCCTGTTATAAGTTACCTTGGTTAATCTCTTAATGAGGAATGTAATAGAGTGGAGGGGTACAACTGTGTTGAGCGCTGCCTCTCACTTCTTGCTCTCTTCTTCTCTCTCTCTTCCCACAACCCAGCTGCCTCCACAGATGACGACGTGGACCTGGAGCAGCTGGTGAATGACATGAACTCCTCTGTGGAGAGCGTGCCATCCACGCAGGCAGAGACGGCGCTCCTCCTAAACAACGGTCACATGCACACGCCTCACCACCAGCATCACCACCACCACGCTGCCCATCTGGGACATGGCCAGGTCCACCGCCGCCACACCCCGCCCCTGCGGCCCTCGCCCCCCGCCAGGGAAGGACTGAAGTACTCTCAGCCCATGCACATCCAGGCTGTTAGGTAAACACACCAAGCCTCTGGCTCTGTGTGGATCTGACCACTTTACACACAATTAGAGGAGAGCTGGCAGCTTCCAGAAATGATCTCCTTTCCTCTCCGTAGCTACATTGATACATTAAAGGTCAAATTCAGCTGTAAATTTAGATAAAGGGGATTTACTGCAAAAAAAAATACACAGAATTTATTTTATGCTAAATCAGGTACAGAATTCAGTTTTGTTCCTTTCCTGAAGTCAATTAAAAAAACAAACAAAAAAAACACGTAAACCAGAAATTCAATGAAATCTGAACATGCAGTAAGTTTTTTACACATTACATTTTGCCACTTTATAACCACAAACTTCAGTGCATTTCATTGCCTTTTTACGTGATGGAGCAACACAAAGTTGTGTATAATTGTGAGCTGGAAGAAAATTATAAATGGTTTTTAAAATTTATTTAGCTTGCAGCTGCAAATCCAGCTGCAAGTATTTTGTATCTACCAGTTTGCTTATCCAGCGACTTTGTTTGCTTAAGTTCATTCAGGAGGAATGGAAAGCGTCTGTGAACATCTAGTTTCCAAGTCATTTTTTAACATCTAAGTGGAATTTAGTACTTATTGTTATTATTCCTTTGTAGCTTTGGCTGTGTGTTTTGGGTCACTGTCCTCCTGCAAGATGACATTAAGCTTCCATCAAGTCTATTTCACCCTCTAGCTCTGTTTTTTATATCTTGTTTATATCTTGTTATATCTTCTTCTAATCACTTCTTACAAGCTTCCTTGTACTTGTTCTATCAAACCATCCCATGCCATGATGCCTCCACCACCGTGTTTCACCGTGACGATGTTGTGTTTGAGCTGAGGTGGTGTTGGCTTCATGCTTGTTTGCTACAGTTTAGTCTTATTTTACCATATCATCTGTTTGCTGTATCCTCTACATTACAAGGCCTGTGGCTAAATGCAAGGTGAACTTCTTATAGTTTCTTTCAGTAGTGGCTTGTTTTTCTTGCATAAAGGCTGAATTTGTGGACTTAACTGGGTCTGCAGTTTTCTCATGATGCTGTATGTTTTTTGACAAACATCCAACACCAAATATCTCTATTTATACTAATATTAAACTACACAGATGGAGTCAATTTGGTGCTAATTTTGCGACTTCTGGTGGGCTTTAGTTGTACTGAAACTTATTTAGGCATGTCGATGTACAGAAGACTGAGCAGAAATTACACACCACATTTTTCAGATTTGTATTTGTCAAAAAGTTTGAAACTGGGGGTAATTTTCCTACTTTCCTAGTTTGTTTTTTCCCCCATCACATTAAAATACACGGAGGTTTGTGTTTTGTGCTTTTAATGTGCCAATAATTTCTGTTCTCACATTCTAGTGTTCATTCAGTGTTCAGGCTTTTATTCTTTGTAGTTATGTGTTCATTCTGGGGCAACAACATAAATGTATTTGTCTCCCTCTGCAGGTGCCTAAAGGAAGAGCAGCACCTGCGTCCCGCCTCCCTGCCCGCCATCCCCAACCCTTTTCCGGAGCTGTGCAGCCCAGCAGGATCCCCCATTCTCAGCCCAATTCAGACCTCCGACAGCCATGCAAGTACACCTTCACCTTCATCACATCCTTTATTCTCCTTACATTAAAAACATCGAATCACAAACCAGGAAGAGGAGGAACGTATTACAAGTCTTAGTTATTTCCCTCCCTATTGGCTTCCTATAATATTGATTGATCAGTAACAGGGCAGAGAGTTTGTGTGGACGTAAATCTAGAAGCGTTCAGAAATCAGGTGAGTGACCCGATAGTCTCAGGTCAAAGTAGTCAGTGTTGACTTTGGCTTCACACTACGCTTTTCTTCCCTGACACCACTTCTGACCCTGGGTTATCTGACCCTGTGTGTGCGTGCGTGTGCGTGTGTCTGTGTGCGTGTGCGTGTGTCTGTGTGCGTGTGTGTGTGTGTGTGTGTGTGTGTGCGCGCGTGCGCTCCTGCGGCGTCATCACTATCAATCATGCACACACAAACACAGAGACGTGTTTCGCTGGGGTTGAAGGTGAGCAGTGTCTCCAGGATGCCCCAGACGGATTGCAGACTTCCGTTGCCGAGCCGACGACCCGAATGGGAACGTCTTCGAGTCGGATCTCCCTGAACCTCCTGAATCCGTCTGCCGGATTTGACAGGACACACTCATTTCCTCAGTTCACACGCTTTTACCCTGGCAATAGGCGTTAATGTGTGTGTGTGCGCGTGCGTGCGTGCGTGTGTGTGTGTGTGCGCGTGCGTGCGTGCGTGTGTGTGTGTGTGTCATAGTCTTGCCCTTCCTGCCCTCCTGTTCGGCCTGTTGTTCCAGGAATGTTCCATCCGTCTCAAAGATGTTTTCAGGATGCCCACCCTGAACAACAACTTATTTTAGATGGTCACTCACTTATTCCTAACAAACCTACCCAGATGTGCTATAACGGATACGTGATAAGAAAAAGCATTATTTTAGCATTTTGTTGACATCATCTCACAAGGTCTGGAGTCACAAAGCAAGTCTGCATTTCGCACAATGAATCCTTTGTGTCCATGTGAGGCTGACAGCGAACTAAATGTTGCCTCATGTCTTTTCCACATTATCTTCATTATGTCCACATTTTGTCCATTTAACTATTATCCCATGTGTCCAAACAGGGAAGCATTTTCCATTAGATGTGTATTTAACCATTCAGCTAACTGCAGCATATTTTTATATCCATTTTTATGTAACGCAACTGAGTCAGCATAGTACTGAACTCTGCTTGCACTGCAAAAACACAAAATCTTACCAAGTAGTTTTTGTTTAATTTCCAGGGAAAATATCTCGGTACAGTTGAAATGAGACAAAACTAACTTAGAAGTAACTCTTCAGCAAGATATAGGAGCTTGTTTTAAGTCAGTAATTCCTTAATATTGATGAAAGAGTAGTAGTTGGATTGGCAGATTGGCAGAAATATTTCACTTATAAGACATTTTCCTCTTGTGATAAGTGAAATAATCTGCCAATAGAGGTAGCAGGTTTTCATCAAAATTAAGGAATTATTGACTAAAGATAAACTCCAATATCTGACTGAAAAGTTACTTATAAGTTAGTTTTGTCTTATTTCAAGCGTGCTAAAATATTTACATTAGAAGCTGGGCAAAAACTACTTGGTAAAATTTTGCATTTTTGCATTGTGATGACAGAAAAGTGGGAATGTAGTGGCATTTTTTTATCATTAACAGAACAGTGATGAAAACATTTTAGTAGATTAAGCCTAAGTTGTGGGAGCTCAACTGATAAATGCATCATATTTGGATCTGGAATGTTGCTTATTTAAGGAAACGTCTCTCCCACCACGTTAGTTAACAATGATTGATTAAAATGGTTATGTGGATTGCTATGGGATGCAGATTCCTTCATAAAATAAATGGAGCCTGAGTGAAGCATCCAGAAGGAACAGTCCAGTTGGGACACAAGTTGGTCTGCAGGCTGACTAACAATAAGTTTGTAAATGTTTCCATTTGCACGGAGCAGATCTGCCTGGTGCGACACGTCACAGGGCGTTGCTTGAGCGCCTGACAGACGGTCAGAACTAGACGGACCTTGTACTGGGCCAGGCGTGACCTCAGTTCCAGTTTTAGCCCGTACCAATCATCTTTCCAGATACTGATGCAAACAGTATCTTTTTTTTTGTTTGTTTAAATTCAAAATGTTACTACAATGATCGTTGATGATATCAGACAAATATGATTTTAGGTTCTTTGACACAGGAGGAGCAGAAAATTAAGGGATTACAAGATTATCCCAATTTATTTATGGAATATTAATTCATGACTCAAGCCTAAGAACAAGCATGGAAATAAGTATCTGTATTTTCCATGTCTGGAAGAGTATGAAAAAATATCTTCTTTTTTAACTCTTAATTCCCTTCCTGGTGTACTTCACCTTGTCCTTCCTCCCTTTTATTCCTCCTCTTTTTCTTCTATTCTTTCATCCTTTACTCCTTCCTTCCTGGAGTCTTTCTTACAAGATTGTTCTCTCTTCCTTGTCAACCTCTGTTGTTCCTTCCTTTCTTTTGCTGTCCTACATTTCTTCTTTTTTGTCTTTCTTTGCCTTGGTGTTTTCCTGAATTGTGTTCTCTCTCTTTCCTTTTCTTTCTTCATGTCCACCCCTTTTCTTTTCCTCGTTGCCTTCCTTCTTTGTTTGTGTTGCTTTCTGTCAGGTCTCATACTTGCGCTTTCCTGCTGTAAAAACATTTTTACCTAAATTTACTGTAAAAGTTTGTACTTCATATCCAATTATGAACATAAAGGACTGAACATCGGAAGGTTTCCTGGAAAAATCTGGAATTCAACAAATGTTTAATCAAGGGTTTACTAACAGGAAAACGTCAAGCAGAAAAGTTTCAGTTTTGACTAATTTAATAAACCCCAGTTGATGGTGTGCTTGGGGTTCGTTATACAATCATTTCACTCAGCTGTGCTGGAGCAGGGACTCGTCTAAACATAAAGGACGGTGTTGAGGACTGCTGCCTGGATGCACACATTAATTACTGGGACATTTGCACACCACACTTTCAGAAATAAAACAACCAGTCGACTTCACGCTAACCCAACACACGACTTGTCAGTTTCTGCTAATGCTGAAACTACGTGGCCACAAGCTACAATCTGTGTAAGCTGCACGTCTCAAGTGATGAAACACTAAGGAGCAAATAGGTTTTCATCTTTTCAGAAGCAAAAGTAGCTCAGCCACGCACACTGCTTCTTTAATGTCTCTGCCTTGGGACTTATTTTCACAGGTCGTTCTGTGAGTTCCTGTCACGCGATCTGGCAGCTCCTTCTGCTGCACTGGTGGTCAGTACAGATCAGAACGGTTATGGGACAAACCGGGCTAAAGCTCTCTTGTTAAATAAAAATGGTTTGTTGGACATAATTCTGTATATTTACTTGTAAAATTGAGTGCAAGCTTGCTAAGGGTGGCTTACTTAACACTAATAGTTCTGATTATTGCCCTGGATTTGAGGAACAAACATCTTTATGTGGCGTGTAGACTTTAAGGATAATGTTTATTTCATAGCATACTGCGTGTCTTGACATGATGCGTTTACTTTTTATAGGATAATGCGCAAAATGAGCATCGGCTCGTCTTGAGCTGATAAAACCATCACTAATCAAATCAGTATTATGTAAAACTGACGATTCTAATGTTATTTCCTATTCAAAAACATACCTGGATTGTTGCCTTGATTCCCTCCTACATGTTTGAGAAATTGTTTAATCTCTATGGCAACCAATCTCCATGGAAACCATTCAGCTGAGCAACACCTAGTGGCAGACCTCCTTGGAGTTGCAGTTTCCGAGCTTCTGCCTCGCACAGCAGCCTTCTCCCATGACTCCCCCACTCGGCTCCTTCAGACTAGCCAGTTGCAATTAGCAAACACCTGGAGGAACTCATTATACAACTTACTTTTCAGTGCTACCCTTGTAAAAACATTATTAAAGGGTTAATAAAGGAGTGATGTGACGGCGTCCTGAAGGCGGACCTTTCAGACAGAGCAAGAGTTTCTTAAGAGACAGGGGCCCAATTTCAAGGCTTTATATTTGGAATTAAAATTTCTTTTACGTCATATTTGATATGTACATTTTTATATCAACTTGAAGGTAACTGTTACTTCATTGTACTACAAAATGGCGCTATGTGCCTTAAAAATACATAATACTGCCCCTTTAAATGCTGCATAACAGGTTGACTCTGACGTGCCGTTGCTGTAGCGATGCGGTGCTCAGTTGCGTTAAATGTAAACAAACAGCTGGCATACAGAACCTGTGTAGGTGTTATGAGAACATATACATATGAATATATGCAGGTCTGTAAATGATGCATGCCTTGGAGCAGGAGGAGCATATGAATGCAGACGAGTCACACATATGTGCCGTGGGACGATCAGCTGACGGCTCTCTGGTGTTTTTCTCCTCGGGCTGTCGCTGTGAATATTGTTCTGAAGATCCGCTAACAGGCTGACATTATGTCTCCGTCAGAAGTCCTAAATTGACTTTGGTCGGGGCTTCGGAGCCGTTTCTCATGGTTAATAATTCTAAAGGCCGTTTCCCATGCAGCCTGTGCCAGCCTTGCAACATTCATTCGAGCCGTGTTTTCCCCCGCCTTTCACAGGGATTTGGTCAGGTCCCATCTGTCATCGTTGAGCAAATGCGTTTGCTTTGGCACCGTGGCTGTAACGCAACTCGAGCTTTTATTTGTGGCCAGAGACAGTATAATCAACATCAGCGAGTTGGACCCAGCAGTTAAATATACGCTCAGTCGCAAGCAGATGATTTGGATGAATGCCATGTGGATCAGCAGGCCTCCCTGCTCTCCTCTGAAGTAGCTTTGAGCAAGACACTGAACTTGATCCAGGTTCTGGTTTACTGCTCCTCAGCTGACCCTGACCTCTGACCTCCTTAGGGATGGACGCTCTGGGATGGGTTTTTTTTGTCCATTATTTGCTCTGCGGTTTGATTTTTAGATAATTGCTGCTTGTAAAGTCAGACAAAGATTAGAGGAAAGGTGTTTATAACCCTTGAACCTTTTCACAT